GCCCCCCGACGGCGGGGCCGGGGCCGGGCCCCTACTCGCGCGAGGGGTGCAGGAGCTTCCAAGTCCCCAGGCCTGGCTTTTTCTAAGCGCTGATCCACTGTGTGGGGGACTTGGTGCCTGAAGAGTGAAAAACCCTATCCAAACTCTCTTCGCCTCCCCTATTCTTCGCTCACAGTTCCAAAAGCTTCTCTTCAGAACATCTACTATGGGCATTTTACAAAAAGTTGTAAGATTGTTTGATCACTATATATCTCCTCCACTAGGCTGTGGGCTTCCTGGATCAGGGATCTGTGGCTTTGCACACTGCGGCACGTCCACACTGACTGCTACCACACTTCTTGGCACAATAAGTGCTTAATACATTAAGCCTGCTTGAATGAACGAAGGAGCACTTGAGGGCTAGACTGCTACTACTGGACCCTTCTGGTAATCCTCTGCTGTCCCTCCTTCCACCCAGGTGGCCAAATGAAGAAAGTCACAGGATCTCACTGTACGTTGGCACCCCAGGCCTGTTTCCTGAAGCCTGCCCTCCCCAACTCTGTGTAGAACTCGATCACTCTTCCTCCCAAATCATCTTCTCAAATGCTGCTGCCCAAGAATTGTCATCAAACCAAAACCATTGGCCGGGCGCGGTGGCTCAAGCCTGTAATCCCAGCACTTTGGGAGGCCGAGACGGGCGGATCACAAAGTCAGGAGATCGAGACCATCCTGGCTAACACGGCGAAACCCCGTCTCTACTAAAAACACAAAAAATTAGCCGGGCGAGGTGGCGGCGCCTGTGGTCCCAGCTACTCGGGAGGCTGAGGCAGGAGAATGGCGGGAACCCGGGAGGCGGAGCTTGCAGTGAGCTGAGATCTGGCCACTGCACTCCAGCCTGGGGGACAGAGCGAGACTCCGTCTCAAAAAAAAAAAAAAAAAAAACCAAAACCACCTACACTGCCAGCCCCACCCACCACCACCAAAGACATTAGAAGTATTGGTCATGTCACCCTCCCTCCCTCGGTACAGAGGAAGCTCTTAGGCTCCAGGATCCTTCAGTTTCATCCTCTCTCCCATCCCATCCCAGTCACTGCCTGAGAATAGCTTGCAGCCAAGGACAAACTCCCAGGACAGGTGCATGGTAGGGTTCAGTAATTCCTTGATGGATAAATGGAAAGGAAGGGACACACTGAATGTCGCCAACAGATCTAAGCCAGTTTGGCCATTCAGCAATTGTCCGTTCTCTTGATGAATTTGGGAGATTGTGTGTCCTTCTTTCCACAACCTCACTAACTGGTGGTAGATTATACTGAAAGCAAGCACTATACCAAATGTTGCCAAACATGTAACATTTGTTAGCCAGGAGACACAAAAACAGCCATACAACTGTTCTTATAGTTTGGGGATGAGGCATCTCACTTTACCATCTAGTGAAAGGGTCACTTAGAGGCTGACACAATGTTTCAGTGGCAGGCCCAGCTCTCACGGTTGTGCAAGGGAACGGAGTCTCCCTAAAGTGGAATATCACACAGCCAGCAGGTCCAGACCTCCAGCATGACTCTGGAGACAGAGGGCTGCTGGGCTTGCAAGGGCCTGGGCCTGTTCAGTCTTTCTAACCACCTGCCCCAGCCATCTCTGGAGGGTTGACCCCAATAAACTTCACATGAAAACAAAGCATCCAAAAGACGCAGGTGAAAGTATATACCACTTATACTGAAGTCTTTTTAAAGTAAATCACCATATAGTCACAATAACAAACATATACAAAGTTAAATGGAGAAGAAAGGGCCAGGAATTTAGTCAAGGTCTTGTGGACCAGATCTCTTAAGGCATCAACCATTTTACAACAGGAAAGGGAAGATCAGGATCCCTTCACACATTCTTCAAGTACAAACACAGGAATCTAACTTAACATTTGTCTTCATTTTTTCCAGGAGTCCCCAGTACTGCAATTTTTGTCAGTCCCACTAGAGAGCAATCTTTCTGCACTTACGTTCCTACTTGCAAAGCAATTTTCTCATCTCAGCCTATATGCCTAACTCCCACTAAGTCTGAGCAGAACCAACTCTTATAGCTTTCATGACCCAAAGAAAGTCCCTAGACTCTGCTTAAGTGTCCCCCGTTTTAAGCCCTATAGATAGATAATTTTGAAAAGTCAAAGAGATGACTTACTGGAAAAAGGGTCTAGGCTCTGGGGTGGGAGCATTCTTTGACCTCTGGCTATAAAGCTGACATAAGTAATACTAAGGTGAGTGTTCCCTCCTTTCACCACCCCCCCCCCCATACAGCTGTCATTCCAAAGTGGCCCCAAGTCAGGCTGTAGGAAGACAGAACTTTCACTAGAATGAAAGGGCTGCAGGAAGTGGCCTCTGGCTCTGTGGCCCTGTCCCTACACTGCCTTGGGAAATCTATGTGTCTATGTTTTATCAGTGCAATTCAAGGGCATAACCAAGGCCCCTGTACCAGGCTAAGATAAGGAGCCTGAGGATTTCACTAGCTGTTCCATTAGGGTACAGAACCCCCCTTGGGATGACGGGCTGTGATACTTGACATCTCAGATTAATAAAAGACACCCATACCCATGCATATACCACATGTAAGTGCCTTACACATTCTGGGGACTGTTAAGTCAGAGCTGCAGGGGCTGGTAACAGGCATATTAGAGAGGAGTCAGAGGAAATAATGTTTTCCCTTTATAATAACTAAGGCAGCCAGTTAACAGTGAAGATATCTGCTCCTCTCTTTCTTGGCCTCAGTAGTAACTTCCCTGTCCACACCCTGTCCTAGCTGGATCAAGTTCTGTTTGCTTGTCCACAGCCCTGCTAAAGTGTAAACTCTCTGTATGAGTCATCATTTCATCCCCAGGATCTGTCACAGAACCCAGGCTCAGCATTTGGAGACAGAAAAATTGTATAGTGTTATAGATTCATCCTCCTCTGTGGCTGGGTCTCTGCACAGCCTTGGTCCTCACCTCCTTCTCTAATTAAGTAGGGTCAGATTCAGGAATGGATGTCTCCCAGGCCCATCCTAGTAATACAAGTCATTCTGAATATATCTTTTCTTTTTCTTTTTCCTTTTTTGTTTTTTGTTTGTTTGTTTGAGATGGAGTTTTCTGCTCTTGTTGCCCAGGCTGGAGTGCAGTGGCGTGATCTCGGCTCACTGCAACCTCCGCCTCCCGGATTCAAGCGATTCTCCTGCCTCAGCCTCCCAAGTAGCTGGAATTACAGGCATGCACCACCACGCCCGGCTAATTTTTGTATCTTTAGTAGAGATGGGGTTTCACCATGTTGGTCAGGCTGGTCTCGACCTCCTGACCTCGTGATCCACCCACCTCAGCCTCCCAAAGTGCTGGGATTACAGGCGTGAGCCACCAGGTCCAGCCTGTTTTTTCTTTATCTAAAACTGGTCTGTGAAAATATTTATGTGTTAGAAACCATCTTCCAAATTCATGTGTTTATTTTAATTACTAAATAAATCTGATACTCATTGTGCAAAGCACTGTGTAAGGCACTGTTCACGAAATAGATATATACAAAAAGATACGTAAAGTTATTTACATTTAAATATGAAGTGTGTGTATCATAAGTATGTGTGTATTTACCATGTAGCTGGAAGAGTCAAGGAACAGAAAAACCCACTAACCAAATGAGTAAACACACACATCACATCATCCATATGAAAAAATCCTTTATTGTTGAGGAGTAGAGAGAGACATTATATTTTTAATGTAGGACACTACAGGAACTGTAGGGGATTCTATAGTCAATGCCCACTGGGATTGGGGATATTCGCTATGCAGTTTCCACACCAGGGTCAGGTAGAAAAGACGGAGAAGGAGTCAAAGCACAAGAATGTTACAAGAACAGGGAAGAGAAAGGGTAACAGGAGTGTGTGCACCTGGGGATTGGGACAGGGAAACAGGTCTTCCTAATGCAGTCCAGGAGTCCGGAAGTGGAGTGCTGAGGACAAAAAACAAACAAACAAACAAAAAACACTGAAATCACATCTTATGTCCTGTAAAAAAAAAAACTCCCACTAAAACCTGCTGGGGCAGCAGGAGAGAAGGGGAGGGGCGTTTGTGCGAGAGGAAAGAACAAGAGTCTTGACCCTTAGCCTGCCCTGCAGGCTTTGGGCCTGAGGATGGAACTCTCCTAGCAGCAGGTACTTGCACCTTCCCAGCTGCCATATTTACATTACTCTACACACCTGTGTGCATGGCCAGTGGGGCCCATGCGGACCAAAGAAGTAGGAACTAAGTTCATGTCATCCTGGCACCCCCATGAGCCAGACATACACACAGCCCTGTCCAAGGTGCCCTACTAGGAATGCTCCCCTTGCCTTATCCAGTTCCTCCTCTTCCCAGAAACCTCCTAGAGAAAGGACAGGCCCAGGGATTACTTCCTTTTTCTTTTTTTTTGAGACGGAGTCTTGCTCTGTTCCCCAGGCTGGAGTGCAGTGGTGGCGCGATCTCGGCTCACTGCAAGCTCCGCCTCCCAGGATCATGCCATTCTCCTGCCTCAGCCTCCTGAGTAGTTGGGACTACAGGCGCCCGCCACCGCGCCCGGCTAATTTTTTTGGTATTTTTAGTAGAGATGAGGTTTCACCGTGGTCTCGATCTCCTGACCTTGTGATCCGCCCGCCTCGGCCTCCCAAAGTGCTGGGATTACAGGCGTGAGCCACCGCGCCCGGCCTACTTCCTTTTTCAACAGTTTCACATGAATGAAATCAGATGACACAATGATCTTTGCTGATCCATCTCATGTAATCTTTAAATGCCGGCTCCCAGAAACCTTATGTCCTATTCTGCCTGACACCTAACAGGTTGGGAATGCTCCCTCAGTGGTAAGATTATGAAGGCTGCAATTATAGGACCCTCTGAAAGAGCCTGGATGCACAAACAAGCATTAAAAGTAGATTTCCACAATACACTTGTTTTTGCCATTTGTATAAAATGCTATAGCAAAATTGCACTGTAATTATCTTTATGGCCAGTGCATAACGCTGGAGGAGAGTATGTCATCCAGATATAGCTGCTTGTATAATTATCTGGCCATTGGCAGGACTGAAATAACCATCTAATGAGAGCAAAATGATACAGTAACTACCATGTAATCAGCGAGTTACAGTTATTATAGCTCTTTGTGCCCTCTCACCCAACACTAAATGGGGGGCCAGACCCAGTCTCTGGTCCCAGGAATTCATGCACAGGCAGCATCATCAAGCACCAGCTCCTTGGGTCTTGGGCATGCCACCTTGAGACCAATGAGTATGGGTAACAGGGACACAGGAAGAAAGGCAGGAGGCTATTCATGATTAAGAGCCTTCCCAATTCCTCTCCCTCTCGTTTTCAGTCCCCCCGCCCCACTTCTTTGGAAGCTAGTGAAAAGAAAGCCATTGGCAGAGCTGCTATTGCTATGTGTGGTAAGACAGTGTCAAGGCGGAAGGTTCGTGTTTTGACTAGACACTTCCCTGGGGGACTCTCACACTCGCATACCAAGTGAGGAATCTGTCAGCCCACTCAGGCCTGGGGTCTAGACAGAGCTAGTCAGGGGAAACATTAGGACATCCCCCACACCCCCCAGACTGGGACAATTATTATAAAATTGGCACACAGCACTATGCACCCGGCACTGTTCTGAACACTTTATCTATACTCAATCCTCAAAACCACAACCCTGCGAGATACTATTATCACTTTTATTTTTCAGATGAGGAAACTGAGGCACAGGAGGGTATGTAACTTTGCCAAAAAGATACAGATAGAGTGGCAGATCCAGGATTCACATTGAGGCCATGTTCCTATTCATTACGCTAGAGAGAGAGATTCAGATATGGTTTCCTGCTACTCCGATTAGATTTCAGAGCTCCTTGCATTTCTTCCTGAATCATCCTTGTGTATGACTACCCTCTGGACCCAGTAACCCAGGATTCTGAGTGATCCAAAAGGCTCAGCCTGCCTGGGAGGCAAATGCTTGCCTGTGAATTGGTTGTGGTATTTGTAATTATCAGATAATAATCTCTCCATCTTTTTGCATAGATCACAAAAGAATGAAGTCCAAACAATAGAAGTTACCCATCAGAGAAGCCCCTCTCTCCTCATCTCCCAACACTCACTCCTGCTCAATAGTCAGCTGAGGTCCATGATCCAGAGGAAAAAGATGAAAGACGGGAGGATGTGTACACACACACACACACACACACACACACACACATACACATGCCTCTAAGTGTCTTTGTGTTTGACCGACAGTGTGCTGGGCACTGGCAGTGTATTTCAGGGCAAATCTATGAGCTTTAATACCTGTAGCATGTGAGGAAATGCACAGCTGGCAATCCCCACAGCCCCCTCCCCAGTCCCCTCTCCCCTCTCTAATGAACAATCCTTACTTCATTCTGCTCTCGGGGGATACTTGAGGGTGCCAAAGCTGGGGACGTTCTCTTGATTCACATCAGTAGGAGAGTCTAGGGTAAAGCGAACAGTGTAAGTAAGAGGGATCTTTCTGAATGTGAACTACACCCTGATCCAACAGCAAAGGGCTGGCTATGAAGGGCAGCGTTCAAAGACAGAGTTGGGAGACTGGGGAGAAGCAGAGTCTCCCTGTCCTTCCTCCCAACTACAGCAGGTCTACCTTATAAAGGTCTCCGCTCCTCTGTTCCCAGGGAAGGCTTGCCTGTGGATCCAAGCTGATTGGGATGAAGGGGCCGAGGAACCCTCACTGAAGGTAAGAAAGGTCCTGTCTTTCCCTCTGGTGAATAATATGGGGCACGTGACTTCTATCATACTCTGCCAGTACCCTAAGCCCTTCCACTCTACCCCCACACACTCCTACCTGGCTTGACGCTCCTCTTGCCCATCAGTCCCACAAAGAAGTCATGCATGTCACCTGCAGAAAAGGGCCAACATTGTCAGCAGTGATTATGAGAAAGTGATGCATCTTCCCAGACATGGGTCAATACTTCTGAGACTGGGTTTCTGGTCTCTGTTCATTTTTCTTGTCAAAGCATGACTCCTCACAGTTAGCACGTGTCTCCCCTAAACCCACTCTCTCTGCCCACCTTTCCTTCCTCCACATTTCAAGAATTTTCTGCTCTAGCAGGTGCCTGACTTGGAATCTTCAGGGCCACCAAGAGATCCTCTTGTTTTCCAATGACCAACCAGCAGAGGGAGAGTCCACTATTCCCCTCACACCAGCTTCTTCCTAGTTCTGGATGGCCTCTCCCTTTCAGGAAAGGTTGGCTGAGCAGTGGGAGCTGGCATATTGTTTGTACCAGGTGAGAAGGGGCTGGACAAAATGGCCCCTGGGCCCAATGCCCCACAGAGCTCTGGGAAAGTGGCAAGAGATAGGGAGGGAGAAGAGGCTACTCACGTTTTTCGGGAGATGTTGATTCCTTAGGATCTGTGAAACCAAGAACAAATGTCTAAATGGGGAGTGAAGTTGGACAGTGATGAGAGGGGGTTCAGATCACAACCCTCACCGATTCACTAAGCTATCCCCCATCTCCCTCCCATCTGAAAGGATCTCCCAGGCCTCTCATCTTCAGAATCCTGCCCCTCACTCCCCTCTCTCCTAGGGCCGCCTCCTACCTGTGCTAGCCTGGCTCATGGCTTTGAGCAATCCCTCCAGAGATGAGTGGCTTTTGAAGAGTCTCTGGAGTAGCTGGTAGAGATCCAGATCCCTCTAGGGAAGAAACAAAGAGGGCTGAGGCAGGAGGCTCCCACCCAGATCCACTCATCCTTTTCCCACAAGAAACAGCCTCTTCCTGAGCCCATCCTGAATCCGATACCAGATTTCTTTCAGAATTTCCTCTGGTTCACACTGGACGAGAAGTAGGTGCTCCAGGAGCGACCTGTGGACCAACAGCAACACCAGCACTATGCAGAGCCTGTTAGAAATGCAGACTTTTGGTCCTACCCCAGACCTCCTGAGACAGAATCTGCATTTTAAGCAGCCCCCTAGGTGATTCACAGGCATGGTAAGGTTAGAGGCGCACATCTGCCCCTGATTCCCCCACTCTGCACGATGTCCACGGATGTTTCTCTCCCTGTTTTCCACCGCCTCTTTCTCTATTCTCCATGGCTTTCTGCCTCTAGTTTTCTCTCCCTCTCCCTTTTCGGCCCTAGGTCTAGAATTCCAGGAAGGCAACATGCTCAGAAGGCATGTCTTCTCTCCACAACTGAACCCCAAGTTCTAGAGCTGCTGCCCAGCACGGGCTCTTGATTGTCCCTGTGATTTTTTTTTTTTTTTTTTTTAGCAACTTGGGCACAGCAGGGTGGTGGGCACACACCACACAGCCAGTTAATTGCAACTGCAGAGAAACAATAACAGTGATCATGGCTGGAGATTTTCACCTCAAATCTCAAGTCTTGGCAGTGCCTCTCTTTCCAGAAGCCATGCATCCTTGGGCTGTTGTGCACACACAGAAGTGCATTTACACAGAACGCACCCCTACACATACCAACGCAGTTGCCTAGGCACACCTATATACTATCCTCTTCCTGCCCCAATTTCTCTCATCCTTACAGACTCTCAGGGAGAAGGGGTAGGACGGCAATCCCTCTCATTCATTGACCAAGAGGGGCAGAGGGGACATCTCATTGGCCAAAGTCCTGAAACAAGTTTGTCTCAGAAAAACCCAGATATTCTAACTATCCTGGGCTGGAACTTTGTGGCTCCAAACGGTGTCCAGCCCATACTTGGCACTCCCTGGGCCTGGGTTTTTTTTTTTTTTTTTTTTTTTTTTAATGGTTCTGGCCTTTTGGATATGGCACAACCACTGCCACCTGCAAGGCTACCCTGGCAATATCTCCCTTGGCCCAGCATGTGGCGTTCAGGCAGCCACTTTTCCCAAATTGTTGAATACTCTGCCCACCTCCTGTAATGAGATGCTAAACAGATTTGAGCTGAAGAGGCAGTTAAACTTCATGCATTGAATTTGTAATAAGTCCCACCCGTAATCATCTTAAAAGCATTTGTATCGATGTAATTGCTGTCATTTCAAAACCTTGAAAAGACTCCCTCCCTATTCTCCCCCTGTATCCCTACCCTGACAATTCCTATTCTTTTTCGTAGAGGAACTGTGGAAATCGAGGTTCAACCTGGGTTTTTTGCTGTTGTTGTTTTCCTATCCTGACTAAGCAGAGGATAGAGGCAGGCAAGGGAGAAAAGAGAAGGAAGGGGTTGGGATCTTAGAAGCACCTGAGGTTACTGGGAGTGGATGAGCAAAAGATAAGGGAATTTATTTGCATTTTGAAAATAAAACAATATACATAACTGATAGGTAAAATAGCACACAAATGACCATTTGGGAAAGAAATTCTGACTGTTTCATACCATCCAGGGAGTAGAAGGGATCTGTCCCTTGCAAAGGGGTCTGAGGTAGACCATAGAGAGCCTTAGACCACCCTAGCTCACCCCTCACAGTACCATCCAATCACCAAGTCTCCCATCAATCAACCTACCAAACAACATATTTGTAGGGCACCTTTTATGTACAAGGTGTCAAAGACATGCAGAGATACAGAGACACAAACACAGCTGGAGATAGTGGGAACATGAGAGGACCAGAGAAACAAAGAAATCGAAAGGGAGGAAAAATGCTCTCTGATGGACAACCCACCCACCCCAGCTTCCTCACTACAGCTGTCCAGACAGGCAGAGTCCCAGGTTCCCGTGATGTCCCCAGTACTCTGCCCGGTGAGATTTACCTTGCTGTGGCCCCCACCAGGAACCATCTCCTCCTGTGGCTCCTTACAGACAGCCCCAAAGCTCTGAGCTAGGCTGAAGGTCAGGATGGCTGTGAATAGCAGCATGATCCTCATGGTGCCTGGGAGAGCAAAGGGACAGGACTCAGGTAAGGGAGAGAAGAGGAAGATACAGCGTGGGTGAAGGCACAAGAGACATTCATTACCAGCAGCTTGGCTTGACCCTGCTTCCCCAGCCCCCAACTCCACTGTCCAAGCCCTGGTCTGGAGAGAGGGTGGAAAGTATATCTGAGAAGGGGGTAGAGCCCTTGGGCTTAGTTTCCCCGCTCCCCCACCAGACATCTCCCCCGGAGATGTGCAGTGCTATAGTGGTGCCGGGGGACTCTAGCTCCCAAGGAAGATGGTAGATTTATAGGACATGGACTGGTCTGTTTCCTTAGTGAGCTGGAGGAGGGATCCTGGATGCTATTTTCCAGTACTAGATAATCCCAAGACTTAGGCAAAAACTTTCTGGTATGAAAGAATGAGTCTATAGCCACAGGCTCCAAACACTAACCAGCTCTCGGCCCTACAGGTGCTTTCTGCTCACCTTCCCAGTCCCCTGCTCCCCTATCAGAGGCTGCCATCTGCTTTATTCCCTCCTGACGCTGGCCCCTGTCCCCTGGTGCCAGCTCCAGTCCATCCATCATTCTCCCGACCGCCTACCTGTGGAGCAGCTCTGTGCCAGGGGCTGGGTGGTCTGGCAGGATCAGGGAACTGGCTGGGAGCGCTGCCTGCTACCCTCACACACTGGTGCTGCCGGTGCTGCTGCAAAGAGAGAAACCGAGTGGAGGGGATCTAGGAAGGCTGCAGTCACTCAGTCCCAGCTCCCTGATAAAGGCTCTGGGTGGGTCTAGGGGAGCTGAGGGGAGGGGCTGAGAGTCACCAATCCCAGGGTGGCTGGAGGGGAGGCGGGGAGGCTGCCGGGGGGAGGAGGATGCAGAAGCAGCCACACACACAACACACACATACCCCACAGACCCAGCAATAAGCCCATTTCCTAACAGCACCCGAGCTGGCTGCTGTGTATGGTTTGTGTATGGTTTGATACTGTACAATACCCCAAAATAAAGGCCTCAACAGCAGCCTCAGAAGCAGAAGTTTTTATCTGACCCCCTCCTGTCCTCTTGTCACTCAGTTACATTCTCCCCCAAGACCAGCTATAAAAACCAGAACCCCTTTTCCCCACAGCCAGCCATAAAGCCTAAAATTACTCTATGTAAAAACTGGCCAAAAAAATTATCTGACCAGCCGAGAGTGGTGGCTCACGCCTGTAATCTCAGTACTTTGGGAGGCCAAGGCGGGCAGATCATGAAGTCAAGAGATCAAGACCATCCTGGCCAACATGGTGAAATGCTGTCTCTACTAAAAATACAAAAATTAGCTGGGCACGGTGGTGCATGCCTGTAGTTCCAGCTACTCAGGAGGCTGAGCCAAGATTGCACCACTGCACTCCAGCCTGGTGACAGAGCAAGACTCCATCTAAAAAAAAAAAAACCTCAGAAAAGATGACACTCACCCCTTTTTTGGGGTCTTCTAATTTCGTTGTGGAGTTTCAAGAGTCATGGGCAGATTCTTCTCAGGTCTAAAACTCTGCTCTCTTCTACACTACATTACCTAATCTCTTTGGTTTTTGAGGATGCCAAAAATAAATAACTTTGTATTATTTAAAAAACCAGGCCGGGCGCGGTGGCTCAAGCCTGTAATCCCAGCACTTTGGGAGGCCGAGATGGGCGGATCAGGAGGTCAGGAGATCGAGACCATCCTGGCTAACACGGTGAAACCCCGTCTCTACTAAAAATATATATATATACAAAAAACAAAAAACAAAAAAATAAAACTAGCCAGGCGACGTGGCAGGCGCCTGTAGTCCCAGCTACTCGGGAGGCTGAGGCAGGAGAATGGCGTAAACCCGGGAGGCGGAGCTTGCAGTGAGCTGAGATCCGGCCACTGCACTCCAGCCTGGGCGACGGAATGAGACTCCGTCTCAAAAAACAAAAAAATAAAACTAGACGTATAGCTAGTCATATATAATAACTAGATAAAAAATACAGTTTTAGAGATGACTTATGACAGTTATTCACAACAAATTATTACTACTATACACGGCTACTTATTTCTTTGTGCATTTAAATTTTTAAACACATGGTTTGGGGCACCTAAGGACAATGAAAGCACTCACCATTGAGGATGAAACTCCCATTAAAAATAGGCTAAGCATGCAGGGCGTGGTGGCTCACGCCTGTAATCCCAGCACTTTGGGAGACCGAGGTGGGCGGATCACTTGGGGTCAGAAGTTCAAGACCAGCCTGACATGTTGAAACCCCATCTCTACTAAAAATACAAAAAATTAGCTGAGTGTGGTGGTGGGTGTCTGTAATCCCAGCTACTCAGGAGGCTGAGGCAGGAGAATCGCTTGAATCTGGGAGGCAGCAAGCCGAGATCACGCCATTGCACTCCAGCCTGGGCAACAGAGCAAGACTCCACCTCAAAAAAAATAAAAATAAAAATAAGCTAAGCACAGAGTGGGCTAATCGGCACTGGGCTGCCTGCCAGCCTTGGGGGAGCATCTTTACAGTGGGGCACTCAATAAAAATGCCACACATCTTGTCCCATGACATTTCCCTCTTTGGGGGGGCCTAGGATTCAATATAAAAATGGGATCCTTGATGGGTGAGGATCTGTATTCTGCCTTCCAGCTATGCCTGCTTTACACATTTAAATATAAGGCCCTAAAAACTATGTTTTCTTCCCCCTGTTTATTAAAGGGTTCCACCCTAAAGTCAATAATCTAATTAAAAAACAAGCTAGTTAAAAAGCCCAAAATACAACTTTCTAAAAAAAAAAAAAAAAAAAAGTGGCTCACGCCTGTAATCCCAGCACTTTGGGAGGCTGAGGCAGGTGGATCACAAGGTCAGGAGTTTGAGACCAGCCTGACCAACATGGTAAAACCCCATCTCTACTAAAAATACAAAAATTAGTTGGGCGTGGTGGCACACACCTATAATCCCAGCTAGTCAGGAGGCTGAGGCAGGAGAATGGCTTGAACCCAGGAGGCGCAGGTTGCAGCGAGCCGAGATCACACCACTGCACTCCAGCCTATTGGCAGAGATAGACTCCGTCTCAAAAAAAAAATTACCTGACCTACGTTATTTGACTTAGGTCATAAGACCTCCATTCCAGAATTCCAGAGAGGGTCCTGCCCCACACCCAGAAGGAAGGAATGAGAGAGGCCAGGAGGAATCTCAACAGACAGGCCTTGCTGGGTTTCCCCACTCAATCTGTTAACATTAGATCATGCCCTTTCTGTCCCATCATACTTCTACACAGTTGTCCGTACTTGGTTAAACCTACACATAAAAATAGACAATTTCCCCTATAGCTGCAAGGCTTCATTCTAAAGGCTCCCATTCATATTAAATAAATTTGTATGCCTTTTTCCCTATTAATCTGCTTCATGTCAGTGATTTTCACTGAAACTTTAGGGGGCCAAGACCACAGTTTGGCATCACAAATAAGACCACCAAAGCTACTGTGCTTTTCTGGAAGCCGCAGAGAAGGAAATACAGGAACCTGACAAGCCAGCAGAAGAGTAAGAATTTCCTGCCAGACTCCCAGTTTTCCAGTTTTCCTCTCTCTCTCTCTGTGGACTCTGGATGAGTGGACAGTAAAAATCATTGTTTTCCTTTTCCTTTCCAAATGTAAGATTAATGAGAGAACAGGTTTTGTGTGTGACTAACCTTGGTATAGTGAGTCTGATATATTTTTTAGTACTTTGTGTTATGAGTATTCATATTGTTTGACCCCGTTCCTTTCTTATTTAATTTATTTTATTTTTTTCGAGACGGAGTTTCACTCTGTCGCCCAGGCTGGAGTGCAGTGGCCGGATCTCAGCTCACTGCAAGCTCCGCCTCCCGGGTTTACACCATTCTCCTGCCTCAGCCTCTCCAGTAGCTGGGACTACAGGTGCCCGCCACCTCGCCCAGCTAGTTTTTTGTATTTTTTAGTAAAGACGGGGTTTCACCGGGTTAGCCAGGATGGTCTCGATCTCCTGACCTTGTGATCCGCCCGTCTCGGCCTCCCAAAGTGCTGGGATTACAGGCGTGAGCCACCGCACCCGGCCTGACCCCGTTCCTTTCAGAAATAGCTTTTTTGTTGTTGTTGCTGCCATTTTCCTTTGTTTTTGTCTTTGTCTTTTGGTGTTCTGTCATAAGGAGGGGTACCCTAGGCTAGAAGAGGCCTGCAACCCACTGTTTGAGCAGGCCCCGCAAACCAGTCAGTTTCGTGGTTCTGGTTAGACTGATTTCTGTTACGACAAACTTTGCTGCCAGTCCCTGAAATAAAAACAGGGTGAGAGGTTTCCCTCTTGTCTTATGTCCTTGAGAGCATGACGTGACTAGATGGGGATATTCCCGCTTGGTCTCCACCATCCAAAGGATGTGATTTTTGGGGTAACATCACAGCCAGTATGAAAAGATTGGGAGCCCAAGACATGTCTTTTCAAACATTCCAAGCTCCTAGAGGAGTTTTGTCTCACAAGGTCTCATCCCTCCTGGGCTTCTGTCTTCTTTGACATAAAGAAACCTTTGGATTAAGTCGCTATTGGAATTAAATACCCCATTAAAAAATCTAATTGTCAATGGTCAAAAGATAAATCCTTTAGACTAAAATTCCTAAATTAAAAAAAAAAATCACTTGTTCTAAAGAATTGATAGAAAGACCAAATTAAAAGGACACATAATAGTGTCATACTATCCTTAAAACTTGTCTTGATTAAAGCATGAAAACCTGACCTAAAACAATTACACTCAAACTGCCATTTTGGATTCCATACAAAATTAACAATGGAGGCTGTTCCATTTTACAGTTTAATAATTAAAATTCCCGCCGTGGCTTAGGGTTTCCTTCCTAATCAGAAATCAGTCCTTTTCAGCTTAAAATTTATGTGATTTTTAAAATATCAGCATTTGTCCCAACTAAAATCTGGTAACAAGAGATTTAAGGCAAAGCACAGTGGCTCACACTTGTAATCCTACCACTTTAGGAGGCCAAGGCGGGCAAATCGCTTTAGCCCAGAAGTTCCCTGGGCTTGAGACTAGCCTGGGTAACAGGGCGAAACCCCGTGTCTACAAAAAGTTTTACAGGGGGAGAGAGAGAGAGAGAAATTTAAAAGAATTTTTGTTAAAGAGCTCCATGGTTAGAAGTCAGCTTAATTAAAAGCTAATATTCAAGCTATGTGTATATTTTTACAGCCTTCCTGTGTTTTCTCTTTAAATCCTATTTAAACAAATTTTGTTCAGTCGACTAAAATCTTTTTTTAAAAATGTGCTTGATGTCTCTATTCACTTCCTTTCTTAAAATCTATTCTCCCGTTCACTTTTACTCCACCCTATTCCTCCTTCCTCTTTGCCATCTCCAATACCACATTTAAAAAAAATCTAGAAAAGACTTCTAATGACTCAGACTCCTTAAAAAACTCAGAGAAGACCGGGCGTAGTGGCTCATGCCTGTAATCCCAGCACTTTGGGAGGCCGAGGCAAGTGGATCACCTGAGATTGGGAGTTCGAGATGAGCCTGGCTAGCATGGTAAGACCTGGTCTCTACTAAAAATACAAAAATTAGCCGAATGTGGTGGTGCACAGCTGTAATCCCCACTACTCAGGAGGTTAAGGCAGAAGAATCGCTTGAACCCGGGAGGTGAAGGTTGCAGTGAGTGGAGATCGTGCCACTGCACTCCAGCCTGGGCGACAGAGCGAGACTCCGTCGCAAAACAAAACAAAACAACAACGACAACAACAACAAAAGATGCCATTTGTAAGGGCATCTCCCTCTCTCACCCA